ACAGTGATTTGAGGACAGCTTTGCACATTCATGCGGTTTGAGCTGACGCTAAGTCACGAATCCCGTCCACCAACTTTCCTTTCGAAATGGAAAGATGAGTTACACTAAATCAAATCTTAGTCGACTGCAGGAATTATGAAAAAAGGAAACGATTTTTATGAGAAAAAAAAGTAAAATCACATCAAAAACATCTCATAAGAGGGCAAAATGAATGAAACATAGTCGATGAGCCTTAAAAAGGCGCTTGTCAATCCATACAAAGCAGAAGAAAAGTTTGCGGGTGGTCAAGACGAAACTCGATCAAATGAGATCGATTGAAATGGATATAACTTCATATAAATAAGATGTATCCACCCTATGTCGTTTAAGGGATAAGGGGACTAAATGACAGTTCCACAATCCTATGAGTAGACCTTAAGTTTCCATTGAATTTCGCATAGCCTTGCTTCTCCGAAAAGCATTCTCGTCCAGGCAAGAATAAAATGTCATTTCGACCTCGCCTGAACTGTTCTCATGAGTTTCTTCAAAAAAACTTGAACCGTGAAATTGCAGCAATACTGCAATCAACCTTGTATGAGAATACCTTTTTATAAAGCAAGACTACGTGAAATTTGATGTACACTTAAGGTCTGGTCATAGGATTGTTGTAAAATTCAATTACCATTCAGTCTCCTTATCACCTTAAACGAAGTCGCGGCAACAAAACACAATCCAGAAAAGCAACATTTTGCTGTTAAACACTTTTATACTTTCTGCCCTTTTTCCTTAAGACGCCAAACGATCCTACAGCATTTGCTGACTGAGACCAACTAAACTCATCAGCAAAACGACAAACAACCAATCCTCACGACCCTTTTGTCCGTTTAAGAGACATACTACTCAATTTGCACACAAGTAGTGCATCAAAGCTGTTGTACATACATCGGAGAGAAGCAGGTTGTGGAAACCAGGTCCAGTAACCTTCGAGGAGGCAGAAGGAGCCAAAGGTTACACCAAATGTGGCTCCATATCTTCCGACCTAATAATGTATATTCATCTCCTCCATCCGGTGTGTTTGTCAATCAATGTCTTCATCCTGTATTGACGTACAAATCTACATAATCCGCAATCAGCAACTAGGCCACCTATTTAGCTATCAAGTTAACACACCTTTTATACCAAGCAGAATATATCAATTGCCTACTATTTGTTGTTTTTTTTATTTATTTATTTCTTTTCCTACTTCGTTAGCCACCAACCTGACTTGAGCTCGTCACAGTCCATGTTCTCTGCAACATGCCTCACCGCCCCCTCCATTTCGGCCCGGCAACCGCCGGCTCTTTGTCCATGGAGGCGAGAGTTTGAGTCCCGTTGGCGCATTACACTCATCCCCGTAGCGCTTGTCTCCGACTCTGCGAACGGACGTCCAGCGGCGACTTCGACATCGACGTCAGCCTCGACGACAGCCTCGAAGTTGGCGTTGGCGCTAGCGCTGGAGTCTGTAGATGGTATAACAGCACAATCCTTCGTCCATATGGAGTTGTGAATAGACCGTCGTGTGGCTGTCTCGTGGGACCGAGCTGGCGTCAAAGACAGAAGCTGCAAAAGCAGATTATTATCTTCTGTTTCTCACCCTCAGCGTATCCGGTTGGGTCCGAAGAACCGGATCTATGCTTTTCAGACACTTGATCAAGGTTCATTATTTACATGAACGCAAGCAGGTTTACCTCTCATTGCACACCCATTTGTGCTCATCTATACACAAAATGTGTGTATGTGTGTATACGTATGAGCACGAATCACATTCCAATGTGGCGTTAGGATCACCGTGTCGTCTCCTGACACTACAGCAACTTAATTTTACAATCGACAGCACAAAACCTGCTCGGATTTCTTGTGATCTCGGTCGATACGAGTAGCGCAGCCAGACACGACAAGTGATTCCGACTACCAGTCCTTTTTCAGCTCAAACAAAATATGGTGAATACATCTCATATGCAGAGAGCAAACACAGTTTCTGCAGAAACTCATGTTACTCCTTCCAAAAGTCGAAATTGGGATCTTGTCGGGCCTTTAGGGGCTAAGGTACACTGAGTGTCGAGGCGACTGCAGGTGCGTCGTCAAGTCAGGCACTTGTGCGCTAGGACGAGACGTCATCAGCTGAACGGAAGATGAAGAATTGCAGGCTTTGAGGCCCAGAATGCAAGTGCGACTCGGCCGGATGCAAACCAGCGCAGATCTCGTTGACAGGGCACTTTTGGTGCTTGTCTAAAGGCAAAAGAGCGACCAGAAAACGGCAGCTTTAGACCCCGATTCACAAAGTTGGCTGCGCTTTTGTGCTGCCAAGACGACCAGAAAGAAGCTTAATGGCAAATCTGCCTCTGACGAAGTGACAAAATGGCCTGCTTTCATGTCGAAACCGCCAGAGGATTGCAACAAAACACCATCTGAGATAGAAAATGTAGTTTATCAACACATATTTGTGCTCTTGTGCAAAAGATGTGTCTTGCAGACGCTGATTCTGAAGCACTTGAGCTACCTGGGGTTGTTTTTGACTCTGGCGGGCGACGAGGCATAGACCAAGGCTAGATCGAATTGGCTCATTTTGAGCATACTCGGTTTACGTGATGTCTTTGTCATAAAAATGCTCTCTCCTTGATTGCGTCGAGAGTGAACGAGTTGACAACAGTCAACGAGTGAAGGGAGATATGGCAGTTTGGGTCATCGTCAAAAAAGGTAGTTTTCCTCCCGAACGGACCTCAGCTTTGACCACGACCAGATCATATTTACAACCTCAACGAGGCTGGAACTTGCCGGTTGAGAGAAGAAAATGCTGTCCAGGCCTCATTGAAGACCATGACATGCGTGGTTTTAAAGGCGAGCCAAACCTCTTGATTCAAGTTGTTCTTTTGGCAACATAGTATGTATCCCATTCCACCCAATCTGGTACGGATATGTGTAGCCGACCCTTTGGGATGTGGGAAATTCATGTCCCTCCTTAACACACAGTAAGCAACCTGATGTTACTAAATTTTGTTGTTTCTTTAGTTCAATTTGAGATAATTTGCCTATCCCTCAGGCAAGGAAAGACAGTCGAATTCCGTATAGACTCAGCAACAATCAGCCTACTGGTAGCAGGCAACCTAATTTATTACTAATTATGCAAATAAGTAGTGTGTATTGTTTAACGGTAAACACACGTCCATCATAAGATTGACAAATGTCGTTAATATGAGATGTATTCACCCAATTTAGTTTAAGGTGATGAAGGACTGGTAGTAGAATTTTCCCACAATGATATGAGTAGAGCTGACCTTTCCATTAAATTTCACATAGCCTGGCTTTCCCAAAAGTTCTTATCATCCAGGGTGGAATGCAGTTTTGACCTCAGATCGGTCTTATAAACACCCCCAGCAGGATAGAAGTTGTTTGACCTTGTTTTCGCAACTTGGTCATGATGGTAGGGAGACTGATAGAAACGCACCTTGTCCTGAGTCCATTGT